AGAGACAGAGTCTTTGATCTAGTTCAGGCTGGCTTGAACCTGTGAGCTCAGGAGATCCGCTCACCTCAGCCTCCCAAAGTGTTGGGATTACAGGAGTGAGCCACCGTGCCCGGTCCCATGAATCTTTTTTTTTTAATTTCAGGTTAATGTGAGGGTACAAACAACTAGGTTACAATATTTACATTTATTATATAGAGCCCCTGTTATAGTTGTGTCTGGCACCCAAAAGGTATACCCATTAAATGGGAGCATACTAATCCCCTCCTCTTGTCCCCCTCTGTTATTCCTTCTCCCCCCATCTAAAGTAAACAAAATTCTTGAGTGTGTACTTCAGTGGATGGACTTTTACAGATGTAGACACCCATATGATGACCACCCAATCAAATACAGAAAGAACATTTCTAGTACCCAGGAGTCTCCCTTGCCTTTCCACCCAATCAATACTTTCTTAGTAATCTGACGTCTATAGTGAATTTTAAAGATAAAATACGAGACTAAAAGAAGTCAAGCTTTCCAAGGGGTCTTGTAGAGTTGTGGACTTACGAGTGCTTTTTCTCTGACCCAGGGTCTCTTCTAGGAAGGCATGCTCAGCTAAGGATTCTGAGATGTAGTGGGCAGTATATAAATGTAGTCTTGGGCTTTCTCTAGTAGGTTATTTTTACCTCTTCAAGAGCTCCTTGTTGGGTTGATATTTCAAAATATTTATGTGATATGATTAGTTGAGTTAATACCTACAGGACTTAGGACAGCACATATAGTTTCTGGGCATATAGTAAGCCCTAACTTTCACAAAGTATACCAATCTTTTTATTTATTTATTTTTATTTTTTATTTATTTTTAAAGCAGAGTCTCACTTTGTCACCCCTGGTAGAGTACTGTGGCATCATAGCTCACAACAACCTCTGACTCCTAGGCTTAAGAAAAGTGACAGGTGTTATTATGAGATGCAGAAGTGAAAAGAAGTCTTTGCCATTTCTTTTCTTTTCTTTTTTTCTGGACAGAGTCTCATTCTGTTTCCTGGGTAGAGTGCAGAGGTGTCACAACTCACAGCAACCTCAAACTCTTGGGCTCAAGAGATACTCTTGCTGCAGCCTCCCTAGTAGCTGGGACTATAGGAGCCTGCCACAATGCAGCCTGCCGCAATTTAGTAGAGACTGGGTCTCTCTCTTGCTCAAGCTTGTTTCCAACTCCTGCACTCAGGCAATTCACCTGCTTCGGTCTCCCGGAGTGCCAGCCCTTGCCATTTTCATTATAATAATTCTTAGAGCTAGTTAAACATAAAAGCTAAATTTTAAAAAAGGCAGGAGAGTATTTATAGTTGATTTCAAAATCATAGTTAACTTGTCAAGTTCTCTGTAAAATTTGCCTTAAAATGAAACATTACAGGTGGTGCCTG